CAATCTCCTGATATTTGGTTTAAGGCTTTTATTTAACAAGAATGGAAAATGTTGAATTGAGTTGTAGAAGCAATTAAGGTATTTTGTTTTTCCTGTGCTACTGAAGTTCGAATTTAGAGCCCTTATACCTGTCAGGCAGGATTCTACCACTTCAGCTGTTCCTCCAATGTTTCTTATTTTAGTTTTCTTTGTTGTTGTTTCATTTGTTTCTTTGTTTTGTATTGTTCTGTTCTGGTGTTAGGACTTGAACTCAGGGCCAGCACACTGGCTTTTTCACTCAAGGCTGGCACTGTACCACTTGAGCAACACCACTTCTAGTTTTTTGGTGGTTAATTAGAGATAAGAGTCTCATGGACTTTCCTGTCTGGGCTGGCCTAAAACCATCATTCTCAGATCTTAACATACTAAGTAGCTAGGATTACAGGTGTGAACAACTGGTACCTGGCTGATTTACTCATTTTTCAAATGAGGTCTCACAATTTTGACCATGATTCAACTACCTATGCCTTCCTCACAGTTGACATTACAGTCATATACCACTGGCAACGAACTCTTGAACACCCATATTCATTTAGTACTATTAGCAAATTCGGAAAAACAACCAATATATGTATATTTTAATGTTTGCTGCAGTAAGAATATGTAAAGTTTTATATTCACACAATATGTTGACATTTAAAAATCCTTTTCAATTGTGAAACCACAATGGTTCTCACAATAGTTGTGAGAGCATACAATAATATGCAAATAAGAACAAAAAGTAATCCTTATAATAATTACAATGTGGACACCTTTTAGTTCTGATATGAAGTAAGTCTGTCATTTCGCCTTTGCCTAGACATTTCTACAAATTCAAAGGGAACTAAATCACAAGTGTTGTACCATGAATTGAATTATCTGTATTTGCTCGGAAATCAGAACCTGAACACAGAAAACTACTTCCTTTTATATTCTCTGGAAATCACTGTGCAACATAATGTGAGATTTTCCACGAAAGCACTCTTCTTTCCTCACTTTAAGAACAAGAGGAAGTGGAAGTGTGGCTCAAGTGGTAGGGAGCCAACATTGAGGAGAAAAAGCCAGGAAAGACTATGAGCACACACACACACACACACATACACACACAAACACACACACACACACACACACACACACACACAGAAATACAAGAGGCATCCATCTTTACTAACAAACAAAAAAGAAAGAATCAAAATATTAAACCTGTCAAATCACTAAATATGATCTCTTTTACCTTCCAGGCCCAATAACAGAATTGCAGAGTTGCTTATAATTCTCAGAGAAATCTATTGTTGAATTTTATTGTCCATAAGTAGTTGTACATAAAGTTTTCAGTTCAAAATGTCAGTTTGTGTGCATAAAGCATCTTGATCAATGGAGAAACCTACTTTAAAATATTCTAACACTTAGACCTACATCCTATAGAGGTCCCCCCACAAAATATTGTCTATCAGCCTACTTGATGTCTTATATCAATGAGTACTTGATGGATCTTGGTAGCAGATTGTTTTTAATGGCATCAGTAAACTAGCTCTTACCCTATCTTTGCAAGCTTTGACTCATAGTCATTATGAACACTAATTTATGCCATCATAAATGGCATGGTGGCTAAATAGAATACTGTGTATGAATGAAATACCATAAAGTCTTCATCTGACTTAAAAATTACCTAGTATGGGGAAACACACATTAAAATGGACATGCAAACAAATGCATACAGAACAAACATGGCACGTGTTCACAGTGTTAAATGTAAATGGTACGTATAAGGATCTTTGCTGTGTGGTTCTTTCAGCTTCTGTGCTTGAAAACTTTGAAGTTCTAAGATGTTTCAAAATAAAAAGCTTTATACCTCATTTTTGAAGGCTTATCCTTGAACAAAGAGAAATATTTCATGTTTTTTAAATATATGAAGCCTGAAATCATAGAAAGAACTGATACTTTCCACTTCCCTGGAAACTACTTTCCATAGCTTATTAGGTCCTCCACAACTTCAATTTTCTTCACACTGCTACTAATGTTTCCTATCTGAACAGACTAGGAATAATTACTACCAATCAATGTCAAGTATGTATGAATGCAAGAAAACCACCCAAGGCTTAAAAGATGGTATACATCCTCCTATTCTCCACACCTTGCCCACATTCACTAATACTAACCACAGTCTCCATTCATCTATCCTCTTAAAACCAAGATCAGTCCTGCCATATGTAGCATTTACTTCAAAGCCTGTGGGTACTCATGATATATAAGATGTTTTTAACGTGGAAGATAAACCTCCTATCATATGTGTGTATGGTAGGAAAATCACAAACTGTTCTGGGTTTTTATTTAGAGAGAAGAGGAGGGAAGGAAAAGCTATAGGAGTTCCATTGAAACTCAAAGACCAGAGAAACTATGAAAAAAATTGAAGTTTGAATCATAGTGTTTTCTCAACCCCTTCAGAAATTGTGGGAGGAGACAACACAAAAACCAGCAAAACACATCAAGACATTCACCACGTGCCTCTAAAATCACCCCCGTTTCCCTATGTACTATTTCCAGGTGCTTATTAAAACAAGATTACTGATTAATTCTATTCATTGTTGCCTTCGTTAGGTAATAACTTAGACAATAAATTTTATCTTTGGGAATGTAGAAAAATGAGCACCTAATGAAAAAAATCATACCTTCATGTGATCAATACTTATTTTAAAATATCCTCTACTTTCATAACATAAAAATCCCCTCAAAGTACGTACCATAAAAATGTTTAAGTTTGAAAACCATATGGCATGCCAAATTATTTCAGAGCTTAGTTTTTAAGCACATTGTTTGAGGTGGGGCATTTGGAAAGCATTCACTTCTCTGTCATCATAGAAAAGTAGCCCTAAAGACAAATGCATGTGCTAGTTCACTACCACCCAAGAGAATCAATAGCCATCTATTTAATTTGCTAAGACAATGTAAATTAGTAACTCACAGCCAGCTGTGTGATATACACATCAAACAAACTGCAACCTGTTCATTATGAAAATCCTGTTGACACACACACGGAGCCACTTGATGGCATTTCATCTAGAGCAGTTTCCACATTTGCAGCCATAAAAATGGTTCTAAGAATTTTTTATACAAGGATTTGGAGCTGAGACTCATAAAAGGGTAATCAACTTCAGCTTTTCGCCTTGTATGCTTCTGTCTGTTTATTTCTATTTTCAGTTAGATGTACAAAAAAATCAGAAAATATGTGCCATGATATTTTTTCCTTCTATAAATTATGTATCCTCCCTAAATGGAAAAAAAAAAATCTGACGTAGAGTTGATGGTCTTATTCTGCAGCTCTGAAAAAGTGTGTAAAGAATGGTAGAGTCAACAGAAGGAAAAAGAACACTTACCCACTGGAAAACAAAACAGAATATTTCAAAATGACTTCAAACATAAATTAAGTTTACCCATTGGGAGGTAGGTCTAACTTGCATTCAGATCATTTGTAGGGGTCTGTGTGACTTTATACCCTGCTGTTTGATAAAGAATGGTTTCTAACCGCAGGCACCCACCAGAGAACAGAGTGCATGTGTAATGCTTGTGATGTCTCAGACATACAAAGCACCTTCTTAAAGAATGTCTGATTTCTTTCCATACTAAGCAGACGTAATTTTTCACCCTTTAATACAGAGCTTTACAGAGCGACTTAATTTACAAGGTATACCTTGCCATCTTCTTATGTTTACTTTTATAATATGAAAAACTACATTCACAAGATCGATGGTTTCATTCAGTGATCCCCCAAAATAGATAGGTTTTCGCTCTGTATTCTAATATATGTCCTTCTCTCTATTCCCCAAATCCAATGAACATGGTGAACATGGTTTACTAGAACGAGAGAAAAGCAAAATTCTTCATCATCACCAGATATTATTCTTGAATATTGAACTCTTTCGCCTCAACCAAACTCATTTCCAAAGTCTATTGAATTGTATTTTCTTATGAAACAGTGCACGGATTAGTCTTATTGGCTAAGCCTATTTCCAGCTACTACATGTTTAATCTGGCGGTTTGAAACAATGTGGCATGGGTCTAATTCTCATTGACCATGATGGGATAATCGATTCCCAAGACCATCCCCTGACCAACTTTCTGACCATCAAAACAGCGTTTTCTCCATCTCGTGAGTCAACCCTTCGAAAATAAATCCTGTCTTTAAGTCCCCTCCCAAGTCCCAAGAAATCCAACCTCTTCTACAAAACCCAAACGGCAATTGGGCCCCCAAGAGTTCTGGGGAGGGCTTTGGGCCCTGGCCAACACTGAACGTGCTTTCCTCCGCCAGGGCCTCGGAGGCCACGCGATCCGCCACGCCCCACGCGCGACCAGAAGCCAGAATTGCAATCCTGTCACCGCGGCCTCCGGGTCTGTGGCCCCCGCAGGTGACACCGGAGCTGGGCTCGGACCCACCCCACCCCACCCCACCCCGGGGGGATCCTTCCAGCCACGCGAGGCCTCGGCCCCCATCGGCAGAGCAGTGACGCTACGTCGGGGGCCCCGAGCCTCCCAGAGGTCTGAAGTGAGACCCTGGCGATCACCGAGGCCCCCCGTTTGTGGCTCAGGGAAAGAAACGCTCTCTCAGAACTCTCAACTTTGGTTTGGAGACTCTGGTTGAAATTAAGAACTTCAAACCCCAGATCTGAAAAAGTGAAACAGATGTCCTGTTCTTCACCATAAATGGGGTCCGTACGTCGGATCCCCACTCCCCCCCCCCGTCTTTCTCTCTGCACCCCCCTGCCCCAGCATTGAATTCAGAGAAAGGAAAGCAAATGACGGACCAGGGTGCAAAAACTCCCAAATCTTCCCGCAGGAAATAAGGAAGCCTCTTCCGAAAGATGGAAGTGCTGCCATGGCCTCCTCTCCCCCAGCCCGGCCTACCCAGGCGGAGCGCACCACCCCAGCCCTCCCCGAGACCAGGCTCCTGGGGTGTAGGAAACGGGGGTGGGGGGCTTGGCACTCACGTGAGGACGTAGTTGACGCTGACGATGCAGTGCGGCCTGGACGAGCGGCTGTTGTGCACGATGGTGGCGTAGCTCTGCACCCACACCCAGCCCCCGTGCTTCGCCAGGAACCTGTAGTACTTGGTGGTCACCTGGCCCTTCACCAGCACTGGGGGAGAGACGGAGGCGTGGGTCCGCCTGCCCGTCCCTGCGTCCCAACGGCCTGCCGGGGGGGGGGGGGGGGGGCGCCGACCCCCTGAGAACCCGGCAGGAGGGAGGGACAACAGGCAAATTCCCAATCCCCTTGATTGTTCCGTTCAATTGCAGGGAGCCCAGGGGGCAGGCAGGGGGTTAATAGGTATGCTAATGGACTTCCCCCACCGGGCCTCTGTTTCCACGGCCAAAGCAAAATGCTAAAAATGGAGAAAAGGTTCCCCTAAACTGACTTTTCTTCTTTTGCTTTTCTCCCCGCCCCCCCCCCACCCTGTGTATGTTGAGGGAGGAGTAGTTTTCAGGGGCTTGAACTAGCTGCACCCAGGGGTTCTCTTTTTGCGCAAGGCTGGTGCTCCACCACGTGAGCCACACCTCCACTTCGGGCCTTTTGCTGACTAACTGGAGGTGAGACTCTCATGGACTTTTCTGTCCAGTCTGGCTCAGGACAGTGATCCTCAGATCTCAGCCTCTATGAATAATTAGGATTGCAGGCGTGAACCTCCAGCGCCTGGCCTCTCAGATTGGCTTTTCTAACCAGGGAAGGAGTTTGCTCAGGTGAACTCTGACATTCAAGTTCCCACTCACGAGAAATTCAGCTCCAAAGAAACCTACACCTAAAGTCCAGGTGAGAGGAGAGTTGGTTTCTGCTCGCATTTTTGTTAATGAGGTGTCCAGGTGAAGAAGCCTTAGTAGCATAATAAAATCGCTTTGGGGGACACTTTGCCCAGTGTTAGCAGCTGGGGCAAGGCAGAGAAGCCAGATGGGGTTCAGTGGCCCAGGTGGCCTTCCTGGGAGGCCTCACACACAGGTGACCCCCACTACCCGTCTGAAAGGCCCAGGGGAGGGGCTAGGGGGTCTTACACAGGTGGTGCGCGCAGCGTAAGTGGAAGGTGTCGCAGCCATGCACGTGGTGGTACAAGGTCTTCTCAATCAGATCCTGAGGTTCGTAGCCTGTCAGCTCTGCCACCCTGAGGAAAGCAATCCCCAAAAGATGAGTTCGAGGGTGTTACCTCCTCTCCCACGTGGTCGTAGATCTCGGGGTGCGGGGAGGGAAGGGGAAGGGCGGCGCCCTTACTTCCCGGCACGTAGACAGTGGAGTCACCTGTAAAATGTGCTCCTGACACGGAAGGAAAGCTGTCCCTCACCGAGCAGGGCCAGCCCTTCTCAGCCGTTTCCACACACCTGGAGTCCAGGAAGATGAGCTTCATGTCCAGGCTGGCGCGGAACATGAACATGTTGCTGTGTAGTTTGATCTCGGTGACGGCGCTCGGAGGCAGTGAGTGGCCCACGGCCACCAGGCCCACATTCTGGTAGCAGCCATCGAAAGGGGACATGTCCAGGCTATACTGGCGGATCTTCAGGTAGCCGCTACAGTGAATGACCTAGGGTGGATTCGGAGGGCGTGAGACCCAAGCCATGTCCGGAAGAACCCACAAAACACGCGAAGGAATGGAATCTTACTGACATTCTACTTGACCACACATTCTGTAGGAATCACGGGCTTCCTTCTATGGGGTCCAAAGTTATCGGTGAGCCACGGTGTCTCAAGAGAGCGGATAAACCCCACACTGAGCTCACTTGGAAGCTTGTTTTAAAATAAAATAGATGCATGTTGCTGGTGACTCAAGCCTGTTATCTTAACTACTCTGGATTCTGAGATCTGAGGATCCCGGTTTGATGACAGCCCAGACAGAAAAACTAAAAGCCAGAAGTGGAGTCGTGGTTCAAGTGGTAGAGCACCAGCCTTGAGTGATAAAAGCTAAGGGGCAGTGTCCAGGCTGAGTTCAAGCCCTGGCACTGACACAAAATTAAAAGAATAAAATAATGTGTATATTTATTTCCAAATGAATGAACCCATCTGAATCAAATCTGCTTTCTACTGATGTTAATCCCACTAGACTTTAGAACCACAGTTTGTAACCACAACTCGGGTTCTTAACCAATTTTGGGGGTGTCATAACTCCGATGGAGTTTCCCACCCTGGAGACTCTATGAACTCCCGCCACAGCCTGGTATCGGAGTTGAGTCACACTCTGCTTTTTCAGCCTTGTCCGCCAGGTGTTCTCAAAGTCAGACACCCTAAGGAAAGATCGCTGCAGATGCTTCCAAACTTTTGGGGACGCAGAGGGGGGCGACCCAAAGGCATAAACGACTTCCCTAAGCCGCTGGATGCCTGGTGTCCTGCCCCGCCCACTACACCTGCTGCCCCTCCCCGCGTTCCCTCCCCCCCCCCCATCGTCTATCTTGCAGCTCTGCCACACACCTTGTAGCCCCCGCAGGTGAGGCCAGCGTTGCGCTTGGCTAAGACGCACTTCATCCTGAGGAAGAAGGAGCGCTCGATCTCATACTCTGGGAGAGAAGAGCAAAGAGAAGCTCAGGACGTGAGACTGACAGGGTGGTGCCCATCTCTCAGCTATAACGAATTGCGGGCACAAATCCCAGTTGGACTCGCAGGGACATTCAGGGCCTGGGGCACGTGTCCTCCTTACCCTGTACGAAGTGGGAATGGTAGGGCTGATGGGCAGTGAGCACAGCCGTCATCTCGTCGTGGTCGGCAGGGTGGATGTATTCATAAATGCTGTTTCCAGTCAGCTCTACCTGTAAAGAGGAGGGGATCACCGTCTCCCCGGTGGTACAGTGCCCCCCCACCCCACCCAGAGGCTGAATGCTTCCTTGGGCCAGGGAATCTGCAGGAGAATGCAAGCAGCAATTGGAATAGGCCAGCTGCTATGGACTGCATCTAGCAATGGGCAGGGGGTAGAACTTGCTACACATTTGCTTCTTACATAAACCACTACTTCCTTATCTGTGAAATAATCTTAATAGCAGTAGTGAAGATAATCATAGTAGTATTTGCTCCCCGGTAATGGTAATAAAGATATAAGTACACAACCTCTTTCCACAGAGTCTGGCTTATGGTAAGAGCTCATAACTATAGCAACTGCTTGAGCCGGAGATAGAAGACAAGGAAAGACAAGTTCACAAATGGGGAGATCCAGGCCTGCCTGTTTTAAAAGTCCTCCTTCTAGCTGAGAGTTTTTCAGACTCAGAAATGCAGCTTTAAGGGGGGAAAAAAGGAATTGAGGAAACACCTTCCCTTCCCTCCACCAGCTCTGGCTGTAAATACCACAGGCTGGAAATATGAACCACTCACCTACCTGAGAAAGACCCAGGTGAACCGAGGCTGTCTCTGAGATGTACATGATCTTCCCATCAGGAGCCACCACAAAGATGAAGCCATCCAGGGTCTGGGGAAGTCAGAGAACAGAGTGAATGGAGAGGCCTCTGAGCCATTTGGATAAACAACAGAGGAAGGGGTATAAGTTAGAGGTGATAAGAGGTTCAGCCAGAAAAAAGTGCAAAGAGAGGGCTTGGAGAGAGAATGCCAAGGAACAGGACATAGAACCAGCCACCAACGTCCCCTCTTTGGGTCACAACAAATTCGTAAACATCTGGGGCATGTAGAAGACTGAGAGAGATGCAGAAGGAACATGAGACAAGCCTAATGCCCTGGAACACTCGGGAGACTCCCAAAGGAAAGACACATTTTTAACAGGCATATATGAAAGGGGGCCAGAGGTAGTGGGTCATAGCCTTTAAGCAAAGGTAAGTTAAGTTCTTGGGGTGATGGTCATTGAAAGAACCAGCATTTCTAATGTTAGTCTAGAAGAACTCTGCAGTAGCAGTGTTCTCTAGTGTTCTAGCAGGATTTGGGAATGATCCAGTGGAATAGCCTTTAAGCAAAGGTAAGTTAGGTTCTTGGGGTGATGGTCATTGAAAGAACCAGCATTTCTAATGTCAGTCTAGAAGAACTCTGCAGTAGCAGTGTTCTCTAGTGTTCTAGCAGGATTTGGGAATGATCCAGTGGAGGAAGCACTGGTTGACATGGCAGTATGAAGTTTGTAGACAGAAGGAAGCTACCCAGTGGCCCTGGAAAGAATCCAGGAGAGGGAGATTTAGGAGATGAGAGGCTTTTTGAGCAGCAAATCCAAAGAGTAATGTTATAGTGTGTCTGTGTTGCAAGGAATGACTTAGATTTCCCTCTGTCCCTTCATCTCTGTGAATGAATCCACACAGAAGACAGTGGAGAATCAGGATGGGTCAAATCTTGGAAGTCACCTGGGGCAACTGGCCTGAAGACAGACTTAATGCCATACAGTTGAATGGTCTAGGCTGAAATAGGCAAGAGAGCCTGAAGCTGAGCACCCAGAGGCCTGAGGGAACATCACAGAGGCTTTCAAGAAGTTGATGTTTGAGTAGCACCTTGGAGAAAAGGTGATTACTGGAAAAGAGAACACCCCAGGCTGAAGGAATTATGTAGCAAAGACAAGAGGTGCAGAGAGAGTGGATCTGATGTATTCTGAGTTTAGTCATGATGGATTTTTGGAGTATGGCACAACAAGGAATCTGAATTTGTTTAGGGACCTGAGGTTTCTAAGCAGGACTAACATGTCCTTTGACATGTGGGGGGGGGGAGGGGGGGGCGGGGACAGGGTTCCTCAAAGTATATGGACAACAACCTGCAGGGAGAAGGAATGAAGATCAAGAGATTGAAGTAGGTAGCTCGCTGCAGTGGAAATTTGATTTTCAAGCCCGAGAATTTCACAAAGGAAGGAAGGGGAGAATCTAATTCAAAGATGGTATTGGCTGTAGGCTTTATGCTGATTAGTGGCAGAAAGGCTAAATGTTGATTTCTTGATTTCAGTAAGAACATTGAGCAGAAAGTGGTACCACTGACCCAGATTAAAAACTCAGAGAAACAGCCAGGCACCAGTGGCTCACAACTGAAATTCTACCTACTCAGGACACTGTGATCTGAGGATCAAAGTTTAAAGCCAGACTGGGCAGGAAAGTTCATGAGACTCATCTCCAATTAATCACCAAAAACCTCACAGTGGAACTATGGCTTAAGCTACTCACCTTGAGCAAGAGTTCAGGGACAGCTAGGTTCTGAGTTCATACCCCAGGACCAGTCAAAAAAAGAAAGGAAGGAAGGAACAAAGGAATGAAGGAATGAAGGAAGGAAAAAAAGAAAAAGAACATTTAAAGAAACAGTTTTTGTCTGAATGGAGGTCTGGGGGGAGATAACATATGTTTGTCCTGAAGATGCTAAGCTTCAGGTGCAAGCAGACTTTTACTTAGCTGTGTCCAGTGGGCAGTAAAATCTCATTGGTCTCATGCCAGGACAGTAGCTCATACCTATAATTCCAGCTACTCCAGAGACTGATTGGGAAGGATCCTGGTTGGCCAGTCCCAAGCAAAATGTTATCAATACTCAATCACCACAACAACCAGAACCATAACAAAAACTTCAGCATGGTGTTATATGCCTGTAATCCCAACATGACTGCTATGAAGGCCTAAGTTGGAAAGCCTGACTGAGAAAACAACAACAACAAAACAAACTAGAGGCCCCATCTGAAAAATAATTGAAGCAAAAAAGACTGGACTGCAAGAGGCAGAATATCTGCCTAGCAAACAGCTATGAATTCAAATCCTGTAAAATAAATAAGCAAATAAATAAACAAATAAAAACTACTTGGTCTCTGGAAAAGAAAGGAAAGAGGGAACTGACTGAGTCTGCAGAGTGGTGGTATGATGTCATAGATGCCCTTTCTTCAATCCCAAAGTGGAGAGAGAGCTAACTGGCTGATTCCACTGAGCTTCCTATCAGTCCAGGAGCTCCCAGTGGACTTGAATAATAATAAAGAGGGTGCAGTATTGGGGACAAGTGTCAAACCTAAAAGTACCACTGGGAGTTTTACTATTTAAAATATTTGTTCTTCGACATAAGGGGCAACAAGCTATTTACAGCAGTGTACACTGCAAATAACAAGGTAAGTGGCGCCTCACATTGGTTAAACTCATTACCTAAGGGGCTGCGTGTGGGTAAGAGAGCGTTCATTCTCAGTCTGGACTGGCCTGAGGCTCGGGCTCCTTGGAGAATCAGAGGAGCCTGGGAACTACAGGGAGATGAAATGAGTTGCAGACACAGCTGGATCGGGGAATGTGTGGGCTTGAAGCACTGTCCGGTGTTCCTACCAGATTCAGCTTATTTCCTCTGCAAATCCTTCATTGCAGACGGTTGCTTCTGTGGGCCTCGCTCTGCCGCCTGGCCCAGGGCATTCCAGTTTCCTCAGCTGAAAACTGACCAGTGGTGCCCTTTCCCTTGGTCTGAGAGCCCTGATGGGGCCTTGCCACCATGATTATTTTTCCAAAGCCCAATTTCTGGCTGCTCCTTTGCTTCATCCTCAGCCCAGTGAGCTGCCATCACCCATTCAGTTGAAAGTTTTAACTTTGAGGGAGCTGTTGGGCCGAAAGTGCGCTAGGTTTAGCAAGATCCACCCCTCCACCCCACCCAACCCCCTTTGTTCCCTGGAGAAACAGAAAGAGCACCCCGGACTCAGCAGCGCCCCGAAACTGCAGTCAGTACCTGGAGTAGATGGGAACCCAGTTCTCGGCCAACGTTGTCCAGGGGACTAGTCCGACTGGAGTGACCCCACGCCTCACCGAGCCCTGTGGAAACACACAGTCTTGAGTGACAAAACCAGACCCAGTTGGCTAGTTGGCGTTTTATGATTTGTTACACAGGGGCCACCGGTGCTGGAGAGTACCACTGGATACTACCCTCCTTCTCCCACCCCCAGGTCACACCCCTGCCCAGAGCCAACCTGCTGGGGGACAGGAGGGGGCGTGTCCGAGCGTGGACACGCAGACCCCGCCCCTTCGCCTTGGGAGCAGAAATCGCAGGTGCCCCCCACCCGCGACCCAACTTTTCAGGGAGGAACTCTGAGCGCCTGCCCAGAAGGACTGCACCCCGCAACCCTCCCCCACCACACCCCGCCGTGGTAACTTGTGCGTGGGTTCAATCGTGTTTCTAGGGACACTTAAAAGTTTTCCTTATGGACCTCATCAAACACGGGAGGGTGTCCCCGCACCCAGAAAACACCCCCGGAGAGATCTGAAACAACCCGCTCATTCCTTCTGGACCCAGACGCCTTTCTGATTGGCTGTGTGGCTTTCCAGCCATTCTCCTCCCTTGGATTCTGACTTTAATCCCCTTTAGAAGGGGGGGGGGGGGGGAATGTTGAGGGCTGACTTCCAGACATCCGTTCACAACTCTTCTTCCTCCTCCTTTCCCTTCCAAGGACGGGCTTAGCTCACAGCTCACCCTCCCCACCCTCCTTAAATTTAAAAAGAAAAGAAAAAAGAAAAGAAAAGCATAAAGATCCCGCGGCGCTTCTCTGAAGCCAGTTACAACCTCGAGGTGGGAACAGCTTCTCAGCAATATTTTTACCCTATTCTAGACCGAGGGAATCATTGTTTTCTCTATGCCCCAAACTACATCTCCTATTAGCAAACACAGTCCATTTTTCTTCTCCATATTATACACTAAGATCTTTTCAGGCCTTGCCACAAACTTTTTTTTTTTTTACTGGTGATGCCTAAAAAAATAAAACACTTCAGACTCACCTGTCAGATCAAAACATAGCGACTTGGCTTTATTATATGTGTGCAGAAAGAAATCAAAATAAGACAGGAGGAATTTGTGAAAGCCTATATTAAACTCTTGGGGAGAGGTAATATAACAAGACTGCTGCTGAAATTCTTTTAACTATATATATAGTTAAATCCTTTTATTTTTATACAATTGAACGCCATTTAACATGGCTAGGTTTTAAAACTGTGGTCTATTTCGTTAGGAGCAAATACATCATAACGTATACAATGACAAATACTCATTTGATTTATTCTCATACAGGGCTGGAAAGAATCTTTCACGATAAACCGTGGAGTCATATTTTTTTTAAGGTCTTGGGCAGGGGCTGGTTTTAAAGCAAACGATCAAAACCCTGGCCACGAGTGACGATGAGCTCGAATAGGATCTTTCTGGCTGTTTGCACATCTAAATAAATCTAACGATTGCCCCCCCCCCCCGCTGGGCAAACACAGATGCCCCTCCCCCGACTGCAAGTGCCCTCCCCCCACCCTCTCCGCAGGTTTCTTCCCAGACTCTTTAGCCCGCCCCAACTTTCCTCCCGGGGTGACTCAACTGTCCTTCCAGGGGGCCTAGTCGTCCCCGTCCTCTGGGACCTTTACTGAAGTGCCCTGTCACACACCTGTACTCACTCCAGCGTCTGTCACCTGCGTTTCATTCTTGACCTGCCCAGTCTCTGCTGGGCGGTGTCTGGCAGGACTTGTTTGGTTTTGATCCGGGCTAGGACACCCTCCGCCCACCGCACCCCACTGGTAAGCCGCGGGAGGAGCTGGCTACAGAGGCCACACTACGAAAAAGAGCGCCCAGGACTCCGCGGTGCCTGCCTTTGGGACCCTTCGCACTTGGCCAAGGCCAACTTCCCCAAAGCGTCGCCCTCCACCCCAATCGCCGCGCCTCGTGGCCGCCACTGGTGCGCCCAAGATTGCGCTGGGTGGGAGACCCGCCTCTCCCTGCCCTGCAGCAAGCGTGCGAAACCCGAACTTTGGATCCACAAATGTCTTCTCTCTAACAAGTGGTGGGTCTTCGGGAGCTACCTCCCGACTCAAATAATTTGAAGGGTCCCCGGGGCTAGGCTGGGGTGGAGGGTAGGACGCTGGTTCGGAAAGCCAGGCGCCTGTGTGTTTGGACTGGTTGTGCCCTCATTTAGTATGCTCCGGCAGGGAACACCAGCCTCCCTCCCCGCCCCCCCCCAGGTTAATAAGCAGCGGGGCCGGGTGTGGACTAACCCGGGGCCTCGCTCACTCTCCCCGGCTTCCACCACCACCACCACCACGATTTAAGAAGCCGTTTGCGTTCACCGAGCTCTGCCTTCTCTTTGTGTTCTGGAATCTCGGTCACATGGTTAAGGGCTGAGTTAATGTTTTGTAGGGAACTGGCTGTCCGGGTCTACCTGTCGAGATTTCCAAATGTAATCCCAGGGCTGAGCTCGTCCTGGTGGTGCCAGAGACTCTTCCTGCACCCCCCGATCAGGGGCCTGCTTCCCCCAAGTCCCCCAGTAGGACCGAAGACACCCCTAGCGCCCTGGACCCCCTCTCCTCTCGTCTTCGGTGTCTCGAGCTGTACCCAATTTCAGTTGTTGGAGCTACGGCGAAAGTGTGTGTGTGTGGAGGGGGGAAGCTGAGATTCCATTTCTGCACTTGACCTACCGCAGAAAATTCGCAAATCCTTTGATTGTCTGTTTAAAATGAGGAGGAAAGCAGCTCCTTTTGCGGCGGGATTACAGTGGGCACAAGATCTAAAGATTCGCTTGTAATTTGGCGAGGGCCGAGGGAACCGGGTTTTCCAAAGGAGAAAAGAAGCTCCGAGAAGGAGGCGATAACTAAATCGAGTTTTAGACAAAAGGATTTTCCCCAGCTAAAGTGGTCGAAGACAAAGGAAAACATAATCTATTTTGGAAGATTTCCAAGATATGCTACATTAACCTTAGCAGATAAATTTTGCTTCTTCCAGCCCCCCTCCTTCCCTTAAAGTCTGGTTTATTATATTTACATAAGTAGCATTAGAAGCGATGTATCTACGATGAATCTAAAGGGCTAGCTCACATTTCATGTGAAACCCCGGGCAAGTTTCACTGTGGCTTTACCCTTGGTGCTGGGTTGAGCCATTTCCATTTAAATACCCCCTGACCCAAGGATTACCTCAATGGACTGACTGCACGGGTTTTGTAATTTCCTGAAAATGAGATTTCGATTTATAAAACAAGAAACCAATTAGTAACCAAATGAGGCGAAGTAGATCCACTAAAATTGACCTAATCCCACAGGCACCATTTAGGCCCGTTCTTGGCGAATGAATGATGAGCCACAGTCTAGCTGGAGCTCAAAGCATCATCCAGCTGTGTTATTGCAAGGAGCAAAAATAAATTGATCGCGCTTTTCCTTCGAATGAATTTCATACCCTTGACAAAATATAGATTACAGACCCCCGCATTATCTCCCTCCTTCACACTCAAACTGGGAGCAAAAGGAACAGATTCTCTCTCTCTCTCCCTTTCTCTCTTTCTCTCTCCATCTCTCTCCCTCCCTCCCCCATTGCCTTCTCCCCTTTCAGGCAAAGGGAGGAGGAGGAAGCTGCAGGAGCTGTCCCTTAGATGCTACACAACCTAGAGACTGAGGCACACAGGTTCTCAGCCACTCCTAATACTGAGTCCCTAAGAGGCTACCTGGAACCTCGGAGGCCAGAGGCAGGAGGGAGGAGGCCGGCCTGGGGCATACCCACCCCCTCAGCCCCCAAATCCTGGGAATTCTGCAAGGCCTGTGATCATTGTTGGATGCACAGTCCAAGTATTTCCCAGGCTGGTGCCCAAACGCCTTTGTGTTGAGCTAGGGGCACAGGTCCCCGGTTGGGCTCTCTGGGAAAGAGAGGAAGAAAGCAAGAATAGGTGTTACCAACTGGGACCAGACTCCTGGAACTCTCTCAGAGCAGAAAGTCCCCTCAGGCACCAAGTCGCACTAGGGCTCCCACCTCTCGCTTTGACTCTTGGGCTACCGGGTGAGTGCTTGTCCCACGCGCCCGGCTGGAACTCAGTGTGTGTCCTGTGCTCCCCGGCTGGCTCCTCGGAGGCCAGCTCCCGTGCGCCCTCGCGGGCCCGGTTAGCGCAGAAATGGGGTGAAGACCTACGGTCGCGGCGCTGACCCTTTCTTTCTGCGTCCTCGTCGGGCTCAGTCCCTGTCAACCAAACTCCCCCGGCGCCGAGCCAACCGCCAATGAACAGAAAGCTGAGACGGCGGGGGAAGGTTCTGCCAGGCCCCAGCTAAAACTGGGGACAAGTGCCTGAGTCAGAGCCCTTCGTGGGGGCTGGGGAGTATCAAACAAAATGGTTATCAAACTTCGGACTTCCATCATGACTGAGACTTGGCGGCATCACCGCCCTGGAGACCCGCGCGCGCAAGGCGGAGAAACCGGAGGCTTCGGTCTTTAGTCGGCTTGGAGACCCGAGACCATCAAACCAAGCCTGCCCTCTGCACTAGGGCCGGATTCGATCTGAATGCCCTTTAAGTTTTAGGTCACTTCCTGTGCTTGGCAACAGTGGCCCGGGAAGCAGGAAGGGTGGCTGTCACACGGCGCGTCCCACAGGGGCGACCCAGCAAAGCCACCACAATAAAGAGCCTGGGACTTCCCAAGACAGCCTAGTGGGCAGCGAACTCGCACCCTGGGGAAGACGCAGAGGCGTGTCGCCGAGGCCTGGACGACCTAACAGTCCTTGGTCATGGAGGTGGGGTGGCGGTACCTGTTGAAGAAGTTTGCTCCGCTAGATTGGCAGGGTTAGTACTTACTGTCTTGATTATCAAGACCATTCCTAAATAATTGGGGTTCCATTTAACGCACATGAAAAATTCCACGAATCAGAGACTGGTAGTGCGAGACCCACTCAAATCATTGTTATTGGAATCCAAACCTGCCTTTTGTAAGAAATACCTGGGTCCACAGAGAAATGCAGGGAGAATTCAGGGCATCCCCATTTGTCTGTAAATTGGAAGGTGCCAAAGTTACCCAGAACTGGAAAAAAAAAACAAAAACAAAAAAACCCCACAACTCCTCTAAACAGTCAGCGTTGTTATCATTTGAGCCTCAGGTTTGTGACTTATTCGTACCTTCGTTGTGGAGTTTTTCTTAATGATACTTCTTTTTTTTTTTTCAAATAAGACATAGTTTTTCATTGATTGGCTCTACAATTTCCAGTACATAAATCTGCCTGGAAATTCTCTGCATGGTTGTTTGCCTTTACATTTTCACTGCACATCAAAACTAGAATTAAACAGAGATAATCAGCGTGGACCATAAACTGGGCTTAAAGGCCTTCAAATGAGAAAAACTTCTGTAAGAAAATAAACATGGAAACCTAATGCTCAATCATTTCCCTGAGCAGCCAAGAAAACAGCCCTAAATCATCCAACCACGTGGGAAATGGGGCCTCTTTTCTTTTCTTTTTCCAGTTATCTCCTTCAAAACATACAATGATTATGTATTTTAATTTTGAGGAAAATGTTACAGAAAAGGTCTATGGAGGTTTGTTGAATTATTCCTGGCCTTTGAAGAGACTCTCTTTCCTGAACAGTTACTAGTTTTCATCTCTGTGGTTATTTTTACTTTCCAAAGACACCTTGACAATGAAATACGGTGTGGTGTTACCAAGATTCTGAATAGCTACTAATTCAAAAACACGTCAGATTCTTTCATTGTGTATTGTCCTCACCACTATACTCCCAGCCAAAACTATGTTAGGGCTGACTAACACATATGTATTTCGATGTTGAATGTGTTCTATTGTGCACACAAATAAGATCATACCATCTCCTTTTAAAAATCTAATCTATTTGGCTTTGATAGCACCAAACATCTCTCCATGCTTCAGCTGTTCCTTTGCAAGGCTATATTAAAAGGAAATATGTTATAAATCAGAAGATGTGCTCTTTTAATTATTTCACAGTATTCTTCCCTTTTCTTTTTCCTATTAAATCACCAGTCCAATGCTTATTCTTAGTTACTTTAAGCACATATATTTCATTCCTCTCTCTCTTTCTCCAATATTGCCTAATTAGGTAAAAAAGTAAAAGTTGAAACATGCCCTTTAAAAACCTATTAGATCCTAGAGGTAAAAATTGTATTAAGCAAGCGAGGGGGGGAGGGACTCTTTCCATAGAGGAATGACCTGTATTTAAATTTGTCCCTCTTGTCAAGTATCCATGGGACAATGTTTTTTAACATTGTTTGTTAAACAAACATGTTTGTTTAACATATAACACTTGGCATTGCAGGGTGTAAGTGAAATGTGAGCAAAAGCTAGATTTTGATGCTGTTATACATACAGCAATGTCACCAGATTTATAATTGGGATCATACATCTTGCAAAATCTGCATCACCTGTAACCGAGTATTTACCATGATAAAGTTGCTGTATTCTATTCCTAAAACAAAATTTTGCTGAAGACCTACTGTGAGCTAAGACAGTTTTAAAATAAGTGAAATTTTACCTTCAAGTTCATGAAACAAAGGATCCTAGCCATAAAAAGTGCTGCATTTCCCTCTATGCCCTGGACTTCAACTTTGTGCACCCACTGCCTTAACCCAAATTGGCACCCCCTATAGGTTGTGTCTGGCTTTGCCACTTGTCACCAATTCACTCCTTTGGTAGTACTTTCAAAAGAGCTGCTTTGGGTTTTTCTTTTGTTGTTGATGTTGTTGTTATTTTTCTTCTCCTTGCTTTCATACTTTAAAAAGCTTTGTTTGGGCTTTGTGGTTTTTGAAATGTGTACAAAATACGCTTTTACTCTCAAAAGCAAAGCCTTATCCCTAGAAGCCAGCTGCTCCAGTGACCCTGTCTAACTCAGCAAGTGCAAGCTGAGAGTGAGTTATGAGCTCAATGGTAGCTGGAGAAATAAATGATGTGCCCAGAGTTCACACATTGTCTGTCCCCTCCTCCCCATAAACTTGCCCTCACCCAAGAAGAAGGGAGCTTGTGGGAGGGCCTGGGCCTGGGCCTTGGGAAAAGGTGGGGGCATTGTAGAAAATACAGAGAAAATTAGCTAGAGTAGGTCCAGCCTGACCTCCTAGAGGACTCTCCAGTCTTCAGTGCCAAACAAGACGTTGGTTATAAAAAGTTTACTTTTTGTTCCTCCTATGCTTTATGATGTGGTGTGATTTATAATATGTAAAGTTAGCATCTTAAACAGGAAAGTTGTGTGTGTGTGTGTCTGAGAGAGAGAGAGAGAGAGAGAGAGAGAGAGAGAGAGAGAGAGAGAGAGAGAGAGAGACCCAGTTATCCTCTTCCTGATGCCCCAACCCAGGGCCTGTACTAAGCTGACTAGGATCTCTGGCCCAGCTTCTCCCCGGGCTCTCCAGTCCTATGTGAAGTCTGCCCTCCAACTCTGAACGCTATTCTTCTCCTGCTATTACTCGCAGCTCCACAAGCAGCACCATATGCTGCTCCTGATCAAGCAGCCAGCGACATCGGCACCAATAATTGATGAGACCGGCTAGAAATCACGCAGAAAGGGAGCCTACTGAGACCGCGGGAGCTGACAAATCACTGCTAATAATCCCGTTAGGAAGAGCGCGGCCAGCCGAGTTCGCAATGGCTTCATTTTTATAAAGTAGGCGCTGACAGTATAAAAGACAACGAGATCGCTCGCTCTTTTTTAAAAACACAAGGAGTATGGCCTAATGGTAATTTTCCCATCAGCAATTCTCAGCACTGTTTGAATGGGAAATGTGGTGTTTGATGTATAGATCCTCCTTCCTTTCTTCTTTAAAAAACAAACACCACCACCAACTACAGCAACAAGGAAAACTACTGTTCAGGTACTTTCAGCATTCACTCTTCTCCTCCCCCATTTCCAGAGTCAAATAAGACCCCTCAAAGAACTGTTTTAAAAAAGAACTAACTCTAATACCACTTATAGTTTGAAGGCCAAGTGGACTACAGTTTAGTTTGAAAGTTTTCCCACAGTGGCCCTGACTAATTTGAAGCATGTTGTACAAGTGTTTACATCACGACCAAGGAAAGCAAGACTTCAAACCCAATAATTACTACTTCCTCTCCCTCCAAACACTGTTTCTTGCTGATTTTGGATGTTAACTCCCAAACATTAAAGATCAACAAGGTAAACCTCTATTAGGCCAACTAAGAAGTTCGCTTTGTAAATAAACAGGTTTCTTTCTCTTAAATCTGTTTGCTTGTCTCGTAATCACTCCTTTACATTTCCAAATCTTTGTCTCCTAGCAAAGGCATATCTGAAATATTTGGGGGCCATCTATTTATTTGCACAGAGAAATGGAAAAGAAAAGTGAGCACACATGGTCATTCACAGGATGTGTTCTAGAAGCCAGGTCTAGGTCTTAGCCCTCACACAGGGAATTCTAGTCACCTAAACTGCAATTTAAAATGATGTCTATAGCTAAGCTACTCTAACTTCTAGGCCTTATTTTGACACCCCCTCCCAGCATTTGTTTGCCAACTGGCCACTAAAAAGAGATTTTTCTAAGTGAACCAGCTATATTAATTTAATTTTATGTATTGTAGTTCTAACCTTGTATTTTACAGCTAATCTGAGGGCCAGAGTTGCAAATTACCGAGCCCCCACAGTTAAAGACTCAGCGATCATGTTAAAAACTTAGAACAAATTTGTTATATGCAGTTGAAGAGACTGGGTAAATTCAGTATATATTGTTCACACATCTCTGTGCTATCACTTTGCAGAACGATAGACATACAGAAGAGTTGTTATCTGACTTACCTAGCTCACTGTACATAGGTCTAGTTATACCTAGCAAAACTACAGAATTCGGCGGAACTGTTCTCTACTGGGTGCGTTTCTAACAGGAGGAATAAAATGGAAAGGCATGTTTGGATTAGTAGTACTTTCAATTGAGCCTCATATCTGAAGTGTTGACAAAAGCACTGTTGGGCTGCTTCCCAACCAAACAGATCTGATGGACTGGAGAGAAAGTATTAGTAGAGCCTAGAAAAGGAACTCGGAGTTCAGAGAGGACTGGTCAAGTATCAGAGCTAAACTTGTCGCTAGGGAGAGGAATATGTAAATACTAACACACTAGTAAATACTAGTGTGCTACTCTTGGGCCCAGCAATTCTACACCTTTTCTACCTTTGACATTTCATCTAGGCAATAGCACTTACCTTCCGGGAATACCACCCTCATTTTGAGATAGCTGGTGGTGAGTCTGATTATGGATGCTTTGTCCAGCTGAGAGGTGATAGCCGAGGGCAGAGGCAATAATTTAGCCAGTTCATAAAACTCACTATTTTCTTTCTCCCTCCTAGTCCGAGCAGCATTTTTGGACTTTTCTTTCATTGTGTCTCGTTCTCCCTTTCTTCTTACACCGTAAACTCCACAGAATCATCCAACACGGGGGGGAAAATATAAAGAAACTTTCAACTAGAAATCATACTTGGTGAAAACGGAGAGCATATTTTGAAGGAAGAGGCTGAAATCTGTACCAGCGGGAAATATATTAATTGTAGGGAAAGACCAGGGCGGCAAACAAAGTATTTTCTTTGGAAAAAAAAAACACGAAAAACAACTCGGAGTCACAGGTATAAGAACGTTGCCGATCGAAGACAATGTGGACAATCCTGAGGATCTTTAGGTATCAAATGCTGGTCGGACCCGTAAGGAGCCAGCCTTTTCTCCTGCTCCAAGCCGAGAACCTCGCTCCTTGGAAAGTCGGCATAATAATCCCCGACAATGTTTGCTCTTCAGGGGACGCAGGCGGTCCGAGCCCGGCTGGGCAGGACAGCAATCTGGGCGAACTCCTCTGGACCACTGCGAAGAAAACAGCATCCGAGTGTCAGACATTTGCCACCCCAGCGTCAATCTCACCCTTACCCCCGTTCTGAACAAAACAACACAACACAACGGCCAGAAAGCGATTCAAGGGGCCTCAGGACCCATGAGGTTTCTCTCCCCCCCCCCTTTTCCTGATGGTTATTATTATTAGTTTTCCTAAGATATAGAGAAGTTATCCACGAGGCTGAGCCCCCTCTCCCGCCTCCAACAACTCTCCCACCTCTTCCCCGTGCCAGCCACATTCTCCGGCCCTCCCTTCAAGTTACCCAAACAACAAAACGCATATTTTCAGAGACCCTCGAGAGCCCTTGGGCCGCGGGTCCTCGCTCCCGCGCCCAGCCTGGGCACCACTCCCAGCACAGCAAATCAGAATTCCTCCACACCGCCGCGGGAACCCTTCGGGGGGCTCCCCCCCTCCCCAGTTCCCGCCCCCCCCCCCATCTTGTCAAATCGGGAGCTTGGCTACCTTTCTGACACCGGTCTCAAGTCGGAAGGATTCCTCAAAAAGTGGCACTTCCACCATCGACACCCCCCCCCCCCCAGGACCCCGCGGCGACCCTGGACTCTCCCTGCCCAGCAGGGGCGGTACCACGCTGGGCCGACCGCGCCAGGTTAACAGGTGGCACACGCGACAGCCCCCTGGCAGGCCGGCGCCGGGGAGGGCGGCGTCCCAGCCTCGCCCCCCCATCCCCCCCGGGCAGCGAGGCCGTGCACTGCCGCCCCGAGAACTTGGGGCTGTCTTCTGCATCACCTACCTTCAATCCTCCAAGGGCTGCAGCGGGTACCTCTTAATGGTACTCCTGCCTGCGGCCCCACTAAGCAAAAGTGCCGGCCTCCCGCTCCCCGCGCGCAGAGAGGCGCAGCGCACTCCCCAGGCTCCTTTTTCTTGGTCAAGAATTGGGGGAGGGGTACGTGGCAGGAGGAGGAGGAGGAGGATGAGGGCTTCGGGACGGGCGAGGTGGTTTTTAGAATCCTCCTCCTCCTCAATAGTTCCTAAGAAGCCCAGTGATATTCCTAATTGGAAGTCGAAAGACCTCCCCTCTCCCTCCCCCACAATCACACCCTCCCCCCCCCCCCCCCCCCACCTCCTTAACTTCTCTACAGCTCCGTGGGTTTAGCTTCAACTTCACTCCCGGGCTCCCTTTCTCCCGCCCTCTAGCAATGCCACTCACAAGTCTTCTGGCCTCCCATTGGCCTAGCGCGCCCTGCGGCACGACGCCAATTGGTGGATGCGGGTGAGTGACGAGTCCGTCGTGCACCGCCCCCCCTTCTCTGTAGCGGGCTCCGAGTCCTACCACCAGCCTGCCAGCCGCGCGGTTAATGAGCCCCCGGACGCGGGGGTCGACGCTGCCCGGTTGCCGCTGCCCTGCTCCGGACCTCGGACCTCTCGGGCTTCCGGATGTTGTACGGGTGTCGAGCTCTCCGAGGTCCCTGGGGTCGGGTGTGCAGAACCCTCAGTCCAGGGCGCTGGGGGCGGCGGCCGCAGGGAACCGACGGTCAGATTGGGGCTCCGGGCTGGCGAGGAGAAAATCACCGGGACCGGGAACCGGCTTTGCCCAAAGGCCGATCTGAAGGACTCGCCCCTCCTGAGGGCAGATTCTGGGGCCCGGGATGCGCGCGAGGCCGATGGTAGACTTTATTCTCTGTCATGGTTCCCTGAAACTAGTGTGATGCCGAATTAATCTCCAAAAGAAATAAATGCAATACTTGCCTTAACTTATCCCCCCCCCCAGGGCCCCCACCACCACACCATGGTTTGTGTTTGGGGGCTGATTGGTTTCTTACAGGAAAAGCTTTCCTACAGGGAAGAAGCGAGTAGGGGTGGGGTAGAGAGGAGAGGTTCCCTTTCCGGGCAAAACAGGAGTTGATGGAGATCGGGAGAGAGCTCTGGGAACGATCCAGAATCCGTGAATCCGTGTCCACTTGGCGTGCGGCTTTGTTTTAGGAAACAGGAGTTCAAAGTTCAAGATGTTCCTTGCAGAAAAGACAGAGCCTTCAGGAGACGGCCGCGATTCCCCGCCGCCTTTTAATGAACTCGCAAACACTGACAAATTATAGCTCCACGGCCCACTCATTTGAATCTCCCTCTCCTTTTATCATGTGAGAAAAGAACACAGACAGCAACGAGGAGGGGCGGGGGGAGGTGAAGTTATGCCCAAGAGAATTGCTGCTGCTCCCTTCTGACCGGTTCAACACCCGCTTCGACGAGGCTGTTCGCACCCAGCCCCAGCTCGGCTCCAGGAGGTGTGCTTGGAGACCGAGGTTCCCATCGCCATGAAAAGTATGCGAAAACGCATCTCCTATGTGACCCAGAAAGCAAATACTCCAGTCAGGGGCGTGTGCCATTCTGCTGTTATTTGGGACACCTTCAAGAGTGTCCCAAATACAGACATCTGCTGCCTCCTCCTTGCCCAAATGACAATAAGCTCCCGGGACAATGGGAGCTTCCGGATGGGTTATTGACACATCTGGGCCACACCTGGCAAGAGTTGAGGAATGTTTTGGAGAGGGGGCCAGGAGGAAGAACAGCACTAAACTGTGTAGGTGTTTCAAAACTGGAACCAGCTATTGGGTTGTCATGATGGAGAAATCATTTCCCCAGTGGCTGTAGCGGCTCAGCTACCTGGCTCTGGATGGTTCTGGGTGATTCTGGCCAGTAAAGATACACAAGAAAACAAGAAAGGAGGGCTTCTCAGACAGAGATGAGCTGTGGCTCACACACAAGATTCCCAAAAGACCAGATAAGCTCAAGTCATCTACTGCAAGAAAAGAGAAGGGAGGGGAGTGTGGAAAAACCCTCTTCTCTTTGGCAACCTGGACAGATCTCAGGAGAAGATGGAGCCAACTGACTAAGCAATGACACTTCAGAGTTAAGGAACACTTGCATCTGGGCAGGATGCTGGTGAGAATGTCAGACAAGTGGGCAGTGGCTCTAAACGCTGTCTTTACTTCAAACAACTAGCATGTTGTGGAAAGTGATTTTCTAGGGTCTGAAACTGGACCGTGTTCCCTGTAAGGAAGGGAGAGGACCGGTTTGGAAGGGGCCAGGCTTCACATACACGGGGGAAATGCAATCATAAGAGGAAGCAAGATAGCCCAAACGAGTCTGGACGGGCTCTCATTAAAGTGGGCACACTGGGCCTGGCTGGCTTCTCCCGGGTCCCCTTGGCAGATCAGCGCTCCACCAGCCACCGAGCAGAAGATGGCCTTTAATAAACAAAGCGAACGCACGGCCCGGAAAGCGCTGGCCCCTCGCTAAATCCTCTGCACACATCTGTCTCGCGTTCGTTTACCGAGAGAGTGAATTAGCAGGGCGACTCAACACCTGTTTTTCTAATCTTTGAACTCAGGTTGGAGCCGGAACTGGACTCCTCCACTTCCCTGCCCGGCACGGGGTGCTGGCTAGCATTGCACCCTCCCTCCCGGTCACCCCGCCAGGCGACCCCGCCCGCCAGCCTGGCACGCGAGGCCCCTCCAGTTGGGGACTTGAACCGTGAACCAGAACCTCAGGTGCCTCCCACGCGTTCTGAGAATTTGCGATCGCCTCTTGCATGGGAAATTTTCAAGTCACTTTCTGAAGGTTGACAGGCTAATCCTTTCCTCCCTCTTTGCCGACCTAGGAAGGAAGGGAAACCGCTGGCCACAAGGCGAGCCACCAGGACCAGCCTCACAGGGTGGAGGCCTCCTCTAGGCCGGGGTGCAGAACTCAAGCCCCGACTCCAGGGGTACAGTCTCCGTACGCCCGTCCAGAACGTGGTGGAGGGCAAAAGGAAAGTGACTCGATCGAGCGTAAAAACATCGCTTTCCCTCACCAATGTGGACAAACTGCCTCGAGGGACGGACTCGTTTGTCCTCTGAGCGTCCCTTCCCAGGGGCGACCAGGGACTTTTGCCTTCCCGAAGGCCCTGGGTGGCTGGTGCTGGCCGCTGCGCAGACGCCTAGGGCGGTGGCTGGTGGGTGCAGCGAGTTCGCTCTCTGGGGATTGGGGAACTACCAGTGCCAGTACCAGAGACGTCCAGAACTCAGTGTGTGCTCAGAAAGGGGGGGGGGGATCTCTGAGGGCTGTCTGACCTCTGCCAACATCTAGCAAAGTCCAGGCTACAGAGGCTGAACCTTGGTTTGTAAAAGTGAATTCTGATCGGATTCCACCTACACACTGCCAAGCTGGGTTTAAGCGTGGTGGCAGAGGGAGGGGGAAGGGAAGGGGCGCAGATATGGACGCACGGAGGGCATCACCACTGTTCAGGCATAAACTTCCCTCCCTCCTGCCAATAGCCTCTCTCCTGTCAGCTATTTGGGCATCTTATCAAAGCTACAGTGATTTCTGAGAGATTGTCAGAGCTGTGCATGGGAGCGCATGCGTGAGCGTCACATATACACACACACACACACGTACATGCTCTTGCATCACATATTCAAGATGCACAAAGAACACAGACATAGGTTTTACTCAATGGCCAAGGTCAGGATGAAGGACATATTCATAATCAAGAAGAAAATATTTAAAGATGGCCACTTCAGTGTCTTATTAAGTTATATCCAGATGTTCACGCCAGCACAGAACAGGACATCTAGGGAAATATTAGTCTCAAGAAATATTAACCATTTTCTTTTCACATGTACAAGTTAATTTTAATACACTATGAGACGCATGTTATAATCACATTTAGATGTGCACATCTCTGTGGAGTAGATGTGAAATCCAGGGCCCCTTGCAATTTTGACCCCATGGGGTGAGCCTGACATAAAATAAAGGTGCAGGAAAACTCCAGAAAATATGCTCAAATTTACTATGTTAGAAATAACTGTAAAAATATGCTCAAATTTACTATGTTAGAAATAACTGTAAATATTGCAGCTCTAATCAGGAGATATTTTAAAAGATTTAACTTGTACCTGCCCCCCCCCCAAGAAAAAAAACCCACCAACTTTTCCCCCAAACTGTTTCTCAAGCATCTGCATGAATTGCTCCACAAAATGTATTTGAAAAAACTAGTTCTAGAAAGAATTACTGTGGTGGGATACAAGTAAGTATTTTATAAGTTTCTCTAAATGTTCCGAGTATTTTTTTCTGTCCAGATTTCGACACTGTAAAATGTAACAGTCAATTGGTGGCTGGGAAGAACTTGTTTCCTATGTTGTACAGCACTCTATTGGTAGACCTAAGGTTTTAAAATAAAACATTTATTAAAGTGGTAGCTGCAAGAAAACTGATCTGCACGTTCTGAAAACAAAAGGGATGGGTGCCTTCCACTCCAGTAACAGACACTTTCCACATTTTCTTCTTTCCAGGAACGGAGTTAGGAGCAGTGGGTGGACATAACTCAGTAAAGGACAGAGCAGTACTGTGACACTTCAAAGCTAGCAATAAAACTGGTTCACAACTTCAAGTTGAAAGACTTTTTTATGCCTAGATCCTTTCCTGAATTTCAGGGAAAACTAAGCTCTTACTAATGCAGGTAACACCAGGACTAAGTTGGGGGTGGGGTGGGGTAGGTGGGGATGGGGAGAGGGAAACTGGATCCAGTCTAAGAATTGTGGCATTAGAAATGTTGGGGACCAAGAATGGGCTGGATTCCTGGACCTGCACCTCAGTATCTCCAAGTGAGAACTTTGTAATCTCTCTCCCCCTCCAGCTTTCAGTCTATGGAATAGGTCTTTAGGTTTCCCTTTTCTTTGAGCCTCAACTTTCTTCTAGCCCCTTTTGCTAATACACCCCCAAGCTATATCTGGAATGCCAAGCCTGCACTCTTTAAGAAAAGTGGGTAAAGAACTCTGGTAAGGTAGCTCAAACAGATGATCCACTTCCAGACCTGGCCATTGGATTGACAGGGTGATATGGGGGTAGAGTGGAGGCAGAGAGAAGCTTTTGAAAATGAGTCTTACCCTGATTTAGGAATCAGAAGTCTCTTCTGGACTAGAGATAAAGGAAACCCTGAGGAATCTGACCTTCAGGGAAACTCAGCCTCCAGGCTGTCTG